ATGGATGGATGGATGGATGGATGGATGGATGGATGGATGGATGGATGGATGGATGGGTTGTGATAAGAGTTGTACGAGCTCCCATGCCAAGAATTTTTTAAGAGAGTTAGACCATATTAGTGCCCATTCCAAAGAAAGTGATTAAACTGAATTCAGATATTATAGAACAGAACTACTAATAGCAGAAGAAACCACTATGTTTAAAATCATGAAAATAACTTTTGAAATGGCTTCAGCAGTACATTGGGATGGAGCTGCCATACATTCAAGTTGCATTCAGAAGAGGACACAATGAGGATATTATTGTTGATGTCAGATCCATCTGACAAAGAACACCAGAAAGATACTTACTTGCGTTTTATAGACTGGAAAGGCACTTAAATGTGTGGAATTATAAAACACTGTTAATTACATTGAGAAGAACAGGAATTCCAGAATACTTCATTGTGCTTATGTAGAACCTGTACATGGGCCAAGAAGCATCTTTTACAACAGAACAAGGGAATACAGCATTATTTAACATCAGGGAAGATGTGCATTAGGGTTGTATCCTGTGGCGGTTACATAATCACCTATCAACTTGTGAAGGGGTGGAGTCTAGCCTGTCAATCAGGTCGCAGCTTGATTATCTCATGTGGAGGTGTAAAAGAGATAAATAGCTGACTGGAGGCCAGATACACGCTCTGCTATTCTCTTTGCTTGGTCTTCTTGCTCACAAAGTACATGAAGCTATGTTAGATCACTGGAACTGGAGGAGCCATGTGGAGACCCACGCCAGCACTGAGATGATTCCACTGCCACTGGATCCAGAAGACTTCCCACCCAATGGCCTGTGATCTTTCTGCATTCAGCCTCATTGCATGTGTTGTGTGAGTATTAAGAGGAATTTATAGATTGGTATCAGACATATGGTCTAATATCGGACTTATGGACTTGATCTTGACTGGGCTGGGATGCTTTCTTAATATACAATTGCTCTTTGATATAAAACTCTCTCTTATACACAGATGAGTGTCTCTTTGAATTTGTTTCCCTAGTCAACCGGACTATCACATATTCTCTAACCATACCTTTTAAAATTGTAATTATCTGAGAAGATGGACGATTTGAAGAGAACAGAGGATCAAGTTTGGTGGAAGACTTATTAACCACCTCCCTTATGTAGATAACACAGCCTTGCTTCCTAAAATCTGGGACGTGAAGCACTTAATCATGAAGTTCAAGGGCTGAAGTCTTCAATATGGATTGCAACTTAAGATGTAGAAAACAAAAATCCTCACAGCTAGACCAATGGGTAACAATGATAAATGGAGAAAAGATTGAAATTGTCAAGAATTTCACCGTGCTGAAATCCACAAACAATGCTTATGGAAGCAGGGGCTAAGAAATCAAAGGAAACACTAAACTGGGCAAAGTTACAGTACAAGCTCTTTAAAGTGTTGAAGAACAAGAATGTCACTTTGAGAACTAAAGTACACGTGATCCACGCCATGGTATTTTTAATCACCTCATCTGCATATGAAAGTTGCACAATGGACAAGAAATCCTGCAGAAGAATTAATTAATCTGCAATATGATATTGACAAATGCATGCAGAATGTTTCATAGACACACACAGCACCAGACAGTTTTTTGTTCTGAGTCATAACTAACTTAATGACACCTAACAATAACAACAAGTGGTATTTTGGAACATGTGATTCTCTAGTTTCATAGTAACCCACATGAGGGGGCACCCAAAATAAACCAGAAAAGTATACCTTTTCCCTACGAGGCAATAATCTAGGAACTAACTCTGAGTTAGTGCACCCAGTGGTGTCTCCAGGGAAGGTTCTCTCTGATCACAGTGAATTTTTACATAAAAACAGTTTCACTCGAACCTCATTTTTGGTGATGGCCTTTTTCAGAGAACAGTGCGCAACTGTGAAATGTGGTTTCCTGCTTGGGAAAAAATTCCACAGAAATTGTTGAACACAGCTTACAAAAATGTCTCTATGGAAAAATCTCTTGTGTACAAGTAGTTTTCTCGTTTCAAAAAAAGTGAAATGCTGATTGATGACAGACCTCCTTCTGGATGACCATCAGCTTCCTGGACAGACAAAATTGTCAACAAAATTCATGCAATGCAATTGTGCTCAAAGACTGACAATTGAAGAGCTGGGGAAGTTATCTGGACTATCTTGGAGCTTCGTTCATGAATTTTAACCGAGGATTTGGAAATGAGAAAGGTTGCTGGAAAATTTGTGCCCCAGGTTCTGACTGACCAGGAAAAAGATTATCAACTGTAAGCCTGCTGTGCTTTGAAAGAACAGCACCAAAGTGACCCAGACTTTTTTTCCAGGGTCATTATTGGTGACAAGACATGGTGCTATTCTTATAATCCTGAAACCAAACATCAATCAAGACAGTGGAAGACGCCATTGTTACCTCGCACAAAAAAAGTTTGTCAAGTGAAATCAAAGATCAAGACAATGCTCATTTGTTCTTTTGATGTGAGGCGGATAGTACGTTTGGTGTTCATTCCACCAGGTCAAACTCTTAATCAGCCTTTGTTTCTTGCTTGCTTTTTTAAAATCATTTTATTAGGGACTCATACAACCCTTATCACAATCCATATAGCCATCCATCAAGCACGTTTGTTCATTTGTTGCCATCATCATTTTCAAAACATTTTCTTTCTACTTGAACCCTTGTTATCAGGTCCCCGTTTTCCCCTCCCTTCCCCACACTCCCTCATGAACCCTTGAAAACTTATAAATTATTGTTATTTTTTCATGTCTTACACTGACCGGTATCTCCCTTCATCCACTTTTCTGTTGTCTATCCCACTGGGAGGGGGTTATATGTCAATTATTGTGATTGATTCTCTTTCTCCCCGTACCTTCCCCTTAACCCTCCAGGTATGCCTACTCTCCATATTGGTCCTGAGGGGTTTATCTGTCCTGGATTCCCTGTGTTTCCAGCTCTTATCTCTACATGTATACATGCTCTGGTCTAGCCAGATTTTTAAGGTAGAATTGGGGTCAAGATAGTAGGGGCAAGGAAGTATTGAAGCTTTCTATTTAGAGGTTCTGAAAAGATAGCATAATAGTGTGTGACAAAAAAGCCTGGTACATTGAAAAATCACCAGAATGGAACATGGAAATTATATCACAACCTTCAAAGGGCCTCTTTTATATGATCTTAAGCCACACATTGTAAGGGGTGGTGGGGGAGAACTAAACTACTGTGATATTGATACACTAAAGCAGATTTTCAAAGTATGGTCTTGGGCCTTTGCAGGTCACATCACCTATATCACATTCCCATATCTTTTTCTTCACCTTTTACAGAAGCTAGTGTCTCCCAAGCATTCTGTTTTCCTTTCCCCTTCTATTAATGAAAGTTTGAAGAGAAATTACAAGCCAAAATTATCTCCAAAATGTTGTCATTTTTTAAGTCTTCAAAACAACTCTTTAAGACAATACTGATTCTTTTATTTTAATGAAAATATATGGTGTCTTTATCTTTACATAGACTCATCAAATTTTGTGTTTCCCTCTGCTTTGCACAGATCTAAGTAAGTATATTAATGGATCAGTTAAGTTAGATCTACTAACATTATTTGGCTTATTTATTCTAAGAGAAAACCAAAGTCCCTTTGAAAATACTAAATGTAAAATTATTTATACTCATAACAAAATGTTAAAAGTCAAAAAAAGAAAAGAAGTCTTACCACAGGTGTAAAAGTTCTTATAAGAGCATCTAAAATTTCTATTTTCCATTTGTCTTCAATGTTGTCTGGCACAGGTCTATACATATAATAAGAAAAAAGAATACAAGTTAGTCCAAAGCATAGAACTTTGCGTCCCATGATAATACTTCCCTATTTTCCTGTGTTGTGGTGACTTAATGTCACTCTATATATACTGTATATGAAGTAACAGAACAAAGGTTGATTGCAAACTCTCTCAAGTAATATCAAGATATTAGTAACTATTTCTTGTTGTTCCAAATAAAGGTTACTGGTGATAACAATAACTGGTTGAGCAATTAAACAATGTATGTGAAATGTTTCTCATATTATTTGTTCAGCATACAGATTAAACAAGTATGGTGAAAGGATCCATTCTTGGCACACACCTGATTTTATTTATTTATTTTATTTTTAATCGTTTTATTAGGGGCTCAAACAACTCTTATCACAATCCATACATATATCAATTGACACACCTGATTTTAAACCACACTCTATCCCCTTGTTCTCTTGCATGACTACCTCTTGATCTATGTACAGGTTCCAGAAGAGAACAATAGTGTGTTTTGGAGTTCCATGTTTCCCAATGTTATCCAAAGTTTATTAAGATACACACAATCAAATATTTTACATAGTCAATAAAACACATTTTTCTATTCTTTGTTTGCAGCCACATCTGACGTTAGCAATGATATCCTTCATTCCATATCTGGCTTGAATCTCAAGTGATTTCCTGAAGATGAAAATCATCTAAGAAGCTGGAGTACATAAAGAAAAATGTGGCATCAAGATTCATGGAAGACTCATGCTTATAGAAAAGAGAATTCTATGTAGAGGAGAGGGAACAGTCATTAAGTCTTGGATACCCAAAGAAGGGATGCATGTACTAAGGTAAGATTACAAGGGCCGTTCCTGGGTACCAGTCAGCTTCAGGCCACGCTCCTTTGTCCTGTAAAATGAGAAAGTCTGGGAGGCACAGGGCACCATCCACTCTGCGAGTGCTTATGAAAGAGTAGGCATTGTGATGAGGCTAAATTTTAAAAATAAAAGTGATTTTGAATCACTATGAACTCACAAGGAATTCTATCCAGACAAACATTAACCTCTCCCTTGGCTGCTATCAAGTTGTATAAGACTTCTGATGACTCCATTGTGCGAGTTGAACTAGGCTCTATAGCGCTTCAAACTCTAACCTCCCAGTTAATATATGTGTGTTAACCTTTCACACCTCCCAGGGAACCCTTTGAGGTTGAGTGCTGTTGTACTTGTGGAGTTTTCTAGGTTGTTTTCTTTATGAGAACACAGTGCCGAGGCTTTCCTTCATGGAGTAGTTGGGTGACTATGAATGTCCAACCAATTGGTTAGCAGCCAAGTGCTGAACTCTTAAGCCACCAGGGATCCTTGGGGACCTCAAGCCAGCTTTCTCTTCTTTTTACCTTCTCTATGGGCATACAGTATACCAACATAGGTGCCATCACACCCACGCCAACCACCGTGCCCATTATATTGATAGGGTTCTAGGGTGGTTTACCTCAGTTCTTGTTTCACAACACTGAAAGCATTCATGTGACAGAAGCATTTTTGTAAATCCAAGTGATTTTTATGAGGGAAATGAAAGTTTCAGGTAGCACAGTCTCAAAAGCACATGCTATCCCTGGAAAGTGTGCAAGACTGCTGGACCGAGACCTCACAGGGGCTCATGGCTGAAGACAGCCACTTCAGGAGAGCACAAAAAAAAAAGTGCAAAGAACACCAGAACAAGAACATGAAACCACGAGTGTGGAACCAAGAGGAGGAAATTCCCAGAGGCCAAGAGAGTATGGGCCCCAAAAGGGCCAGCAGCTGCTTACGCACCACGCATGCAGGAGAGATTCCCACCCTCTGCCGGCAGAGCACAGATGAACAAGAAAAAGAGAGGTGGCCCCACAGCCTACCTTTATTCCCTGCCATCCCCACTGTGTGGTGAGGCATGGTTTAGGGTACTGGCCAATCTTATTGGCTGAGTGTAGGCACTCCTGTGTGATGGTGCCTAGACTGTGCTCCCAGGTGAACCTTCCACCTAGGCCTAGGTAACTTGAGTCTGAGCATGCTCAGTTCTGTATTTTCCCATAGGTGTCTAATTAGTGTGCTTGATGTCTTTCCAACCCTTTATTATGGCATGGACAGCTGACTTTCATTTAGCATGGGTATTCTGGAAGATGACCCCTCTTTGTCCCTAATCTAGCAACCTCTCAATATTTTGAGGTAGAGAGTGGGTAGCTAGTACAGTTTGCCAAGCCCTCCAGTTATGAGTCACTGTCAAGGTCATTTTACTGGACTGAACTTTTATTTCTTCACTTATTAATTGGGAGTGATACTAGCTGCCTCTGTGGGAATTGAGATAATAAAGAAAAAAGAAAAGAAGAAGGGGAGAAGAGGACTTCACACACATGATTGATAAAAATCAAAGACTACAACCCTTCAATATGGATTACATCTCAACATAAAGATAAAAATATAAGTCATATTATGATAAATGGAGAAAATAATGATGTTTTCTAGGTTTTTATTTGTCTTGGAAGCAGCATTCAAGAAATTACACAACAGGAGAAGAGGAGTCGAGATGGTGCCCAGGTAACATTACTACTGAAAACTCTGGTGTCCAGGAGGACTAGTGGGAGAATTCCAGTGAGTAAGAGGACTCCTAGGACAACCCTTGGAGCCTCTCCCAGCCACATGCAACCTGCCCCCCATGCATCTGCCCTGAGCTGGAGCTCCCGGGACATCTCAGCTCAGCCAACTGGGCTGCTCCTGCATGCCACTGCTGCCGCAGTCACCATCACCGAGTGCCCCATCCCACCCCCAGGCCTGGTCCCCATGCCAGGTGCTGCTTGGCTGCCCTGCTGAGACACACACTCCTCACCCGCATATGTGACAGCTGCCCCCACCAATGGCAGGCACCTACACCCTGTGGAAGGCCCTGTTGGGCACCTGCACCAGGACAGGGTCTGTTTTCACCCTCGATAAGCACCCCTTCTGTGGCAGTGAGGCCTCCCCCACCTTTGTCTTCTATTAGGCATCTTTTAAAAATTAAAAAAGAAAAAAGGCTGCTAATCGTGGCCTGACAGACCAGTTCAAAGTAGCCCAGGTTGTTACATACAGGCTCCAGCCCACTCTAGTCATTGAAATTCCTCATTACTGTTGGCCACTGAATCGACGTGGAACCCTGCCTACAGGGCAGTCTGACCCACCTCTATATAGGCCATAGGCATTCCTGAAAGCACCTTTATCAGTAACACAGAGAAAGAGCTCGGGGTCCTCTGGTCCCCAGAAACATGGTGCCTACCTCCACAAAGGGGTCAAGGAAGCATCAGCAAACTGCATCACTCCAAAAAAACAAAAACAAAACAGAGACAAAACACAATACCAGAGTTAATGGTGCTCATAGAAGAATCAGACATATATCTGCCACAAAAAGAAATCTTCAGAAGGCTGCTTGGAGTAATACAGGAGTTGAGGAAAACAACGCAGAATAAGAATGCAATGGTAGAGGAGATGACGTCCACAATTGAGGGGATGAAATCCATGCACCAAAGGGAAATACAGGTGCTAACAGGTGAGGCAGCAGAAGCTACACACAAGATCATAGAATTAATGATTAGACTAGAGGAGGCAGAGAACCATTTCAGTGATCTTGAAGACACTCAGGCAGACCTCAGCAAATGAGAAATACAGTCAAATAGGAAAATAAAAGAGGTGGACGATAACCTGAGATCAATGACAGATGTTATAAAGAGGAATAATAGTTGAATAATTGGTCCACTGGAGCAGGACACTACAAACAAGTCTACAGCTAAAATAAAAAAGGAGTTTCTGGAAGAAAACTTTCCCACCTTAGTGAATGAGAATCAAACATTCATACAGGAAGAAGATAGGACACCAAGTAGACTAAACTCCAAGAAGAAATCACCAAAGCATATAATTGTTAAAATATTCAACTTTGAGGAAAAGAAAATTTTAAGAGCAGCAAGGAAGACAGTCACATACAAGGGAGCTTAGGTAAGAATATGCTCAGACCTATCTGCAGAAACCATGAAGAGGAGGAGAGAGTAGACCAACATCTTCCAGCAGCTGAAAGAAAAAAATGCCTGCCAAAGAATCCTCTACCCTGTCAAATTATCCATTAAGATAGGTGGAGAGATAAGGGTCTTCCAGGACAAGGAAAAATTCAAAGAATATGCTGTAAGACACCCAAACCTACAGAAGGTACTGGCTGCCCTGACTCACTATGGTCAGAGGACTAACATCCACCAAGAACAAGCAGGAGATCACCATATAGGCCAGCAGATTTTAACCTGTGGGTCATGATCCCTTTGGGGGTCAAACGACCCTTTCACAGGAGTCGCCTAAGACCATCTGAAAACACAGATCTCTGATGGTCTTAGGAACCAAGACACCGCTCCTCTATCTGCCTCCAGGTGGGTCCACCCACATGCAGATACACCCACATACATGTACCCGGCATGAAGACTGTTACCCATGTTACATCATGCTTCAAAACAAAATTTCATTTATTTGTACCGTGTTTCCCCAAAAGTAAGACATAGCCTGAAAATAAGACCTACTTACAGTTTTGCCTCTTGCTGAAATATAAGGCATCCCCCAAAAAGATAAGGCCACCCCGATCATAAGGCTCCCTTAAGCTACCATAACTCTGGACTCTGGACTGTAGCAGTGGGCACCGCCGCAGCTCACTGTTGGCCGCAGCACAGCTGGAGCAGACAGGAAGTGCAAGGTCTCTTTTAATCAGAGAGCCCACTCCACCGCGAGGACAAGCTACCGCCTGCTGACTCACAATTAGACAGTGAGTCGTGTGGGGCAGGAGTAACAAGAAATTCTTGATACTGCAGGATTCACAGTTTGTCTGGTTATGCTAGTTTGTGATGACAACTACTACCGTACGGTATACAAGTAATAAATTTCCTTTTTTTGTTGTTCAACAATAAATGTGTACCATATTCTTCATGGAAAAATAAGACATCCCCTGAAAATAAGACCTAGCGCATCTTTGGGAGCAAAAATTCATATAAGACACTGTCTTATTTTGGGGGAAGCAGGGTAATTAGAAATAAATATTT